TATCACCATACTACACAGTATCCATTTTTTACCCCACCCCTATGACTTATGGTGGGAATTTGCTTTGGACATTTGATATGAACATTGGAGTTCATATCTCACTGCTTAAGGCATCTTCAGGTATTAATTTATTAAAGCAAGCTACCCATTAAAGTCTGTGCACAAAATAAGTGCTTAAGTATTTGTGTATGTGAAATACCAACCCTCAGCACGATTTTGATGAAGATGCGGCTGGCTGAACCCGAATTCTCCAACTGGAACCACTGATCCATGGTGAGCTCGGGCACCCCGACAAGACGGGCCAGAGGGATTTTTAGACTGCCCAAGGACAGAGCTCGGTCGTCATCTTTTACCTGATTGAAACAAAAAAGGTCGAGTTAGGGTTATAAGAAAGGCAAAGTAAGGAGGAGAGTGCAGTTTATAGAAAATACATCAAGTCTGAATTTAAACAGATGGAAAGGTATTAGGTATACAGCTATACCTCAACTCTCAGCAGCTAGCTTAATGAGTGAGTTCGGTTGCTACTGAGGATGACTCACCTGAATGTCGATATTTTGTTTGTGAGGATCCTTAATGAAGAAGGTAAAAGCATCTTCCCACACTGGGCTGGTTGTACCGTAGCAAGTCTGCAAATGCAAGAATAAATCATTAACAATGTCCAGAGGCCGGAGGGAGGTATTCATCACTAGCTACTCTTCATCTCATCACTCTTACCTTGCTCTCTTTAGTTTTATCCTGAACAGAAATCTGTACCATCGGGCTTGGGTCCTTATTACCTTTTCTCATCTATGACATTTGAAACAGATCAGTTTGGGTAACAGAACAAAACTGAATCCCACATAAATCAAACTGTGATGCTCTTACAGGCAGCTCATAAGCCTGATCGAGATAGACAGCTAGGATGGCAGCAGACGGAGGTTCAGCCACCTTACTGGTCAAATTCTGGTTCTTCGCAATCACCTGGTAGAAGAATAAAAGAAAAACATGTGAGCAAAAGTCCAGTGTCCTACCAGTAGTTATTTTTTAAAACATCTTTCCTGCTATTATATGGGTGAAAAATAGCAGTTTGATGTGTCACAGTATTTTGTTCTGGTGTGTACGAGTTAAACTTTTCATTTTGTGATCTGTGACGGTTAATCAATAAATAACTGGATGCTTGGATTCTTGTAGTTGTAGTAAACGTGCAGTTTAAGACAGCAGACGACTCATCTGCGCTCGTCTCTAGTGGCTCCTTTGACAAATTTAAAAAATAATAATAAAAGGAAATCATTTTATCTATGATTGTGGTTCTTCCCATTCTCCATTTGTTTTTTCAAACATGACTCTGTTATTCAATTATTAGTATTTTGAATTTGACAGTAGAAACAACAAGAAGGTGCATTCAGCATCGCTAGGTGACACGTATAGAGTGAATAATAAATAATGATATTAAGAAAAGAATTCAGGTCTTCCTGCCACTGACCTACTTCAGTATTCTTCTTCAGAAAATTACAGATGAAATTTTTTCTAGCTTGTTTTTTTGTGCGGTTTTGTGCAATCACTTTGGTTATTTCCTTAAGCAAGTGTGAAATTACACAAGTTGTTTGTTTGCTATACACACTGTGGCAAGTAAAGTCCTGGCATCACAAACCCTCTGCACAAATGTTCAATAAGTTCAAATTAGGTTTAAGAGCCGTCTCTTCACATAGATGTATGTGACGTCTCTTTCCACATACAACAGAACAGGGACCCTTCTAACAGTTACATTTAATATTAGCATTGGGGATATAAGTCAGAGCAATGTGATGACCAGTTATACTGCAGTCATTTACAATGTGTGTTCACAGTTTGGGATTGAACTAAAGAACAAGCTCTTCCATTGGTCAGTTATCGTTCACATCTGTTCTCCATGCATGCAGTAGATCCTGCCATGACTCTTTGCACTCACTAAC